GACCGGCAGGTCCCGCACAGCCCCATCGCCAGCTCCCGGCCCCTGCTCAGCGCCCAGCCATCCGGGCGCGCGGTGCCTTACATTCTCCGGCTCTGAAGGCTTCCTGACGATTTGCATAGTTAAGCCGTAAACTAACCACAACATTCCTCTTGCGATTTTGCAATCTGCTGGAATAACGTGGTCGCTTCTCAGTCGAGGCGATGAATCACCATCTATAAACCACAGCTCTCGTCACCGGGGCTCGCAGTGCTGGCTGCAGCCAGCGTGATTAATCCGCCAGGATGCCAAGCTTAACCTACGGCACAGGGCTGTTTGTTTTCCAAGATCGCAAACCTCCGGAAAACGACTGCTCCTGCCTTCTCCATCTCCTCCGCAGCGAGATGAGAGCGGGGACCGTGCCAGAGCCCCGCGCAGAAACCTCCCTCGCTGCCCGCAGGGCATCCCGGCGTTAACCACCGGACCGTGCACCTTGCGACCGGGGCACCCGCGCCCTCTCCACGATCCCCACGCTTTCTGCTCCCACAGCACCCTCAAAACAGGCACCAAAACACCACTGCTGCCAGCACGGCTCACTTCCCCGGCCCTGGTCCTGCTGGGGACAGGGACGGGCACAGCCACTAACTCCCTGTGATGTTTAGCTGAGCTCATCCCTGGGAATACCACTCCTACTCCAGGACCAACAGCTCCTGCCACCCCGGCTTGCCAAAGGACACGCTGGCAGGGAACCGGCTCTGTGCGAGAGCCCGTCCCCAAGTGCCCATCCCCAAGTATGGGCAGGGGGTGACATCTCTCTCCGGGGGCAGGTTTTGGGGGGTGCTGGCTGCGTGGGGGATGCTGTTCGGCTGCCAGCAGGTACATCACCTCCTGCCATCCCAGCACCCAGGGCTCTTACAGAACACAAACGCCACAAAAACCACCGACTCCTGGTTGCTCCTTAAATCAGGAAGGAGAAAACCACAATCCTCTATGCCCTTGCGGAGAGGGAGCCGCGTGCCAGGCTGAGCTTCAAGGCACCTCATTCCGGTGCCGCTCAAGCCC